TTTTAATAAATGACAACAAGTCATTAAGCAACTTTTATTTGCAGTAGCTCATCGACAAGTGATGATGATAATGTAGGGACCGGTCGATGTCATTCAACGGATGATAATGGCAATCGGTTTGTTGAGTAAATTAAATTAGGAAAATACATTTGGATTTTCTTCAGAAAAAACTTGTAATAAAAGATAATAGACGAATGGAAAAAAGTTGAAAGTAATATTGCTGTGAAAGATGACTTCGATCGTGATATTATAGAGATGATATCTGATCCAAAAGTTTTAATGAACCAATTATCATCAAGCTTTTCCCAATAGTTCTTTTTTCTTTGGTGGTCATCCTTTTGATTCAGGTGTCCGGATCTGTCAGAATTCGGACGTGTTGTCACATGGCCGCATTTTCTCGCAGCTGGACCATCAGCCTTCACAATCCCTCATGCTGCTAGTTCATTAATGGATTCAAATTCATTTGCTAACGCTATTGCCTCTGCTGCTGTCACCGTTGATGGACAAGAGATATCTCAAGTCCAACAGATTCAGGTCAGCAATAGTAATTTCCTTCAGTGGAAACATAACTTTGATATAGAATTCAGGAAATAGTCTTAACTTGAAGCATAATTTCTGCTATCTTTTCTCGCAAACAGAGTTCTATCGCAGTATATAGCACAATTACAGTTTAACTTGTTGACATAACAAGTTATGACGGAAATGCCATCCTTTCACTTTGTTTCATTGCACTCGCTTTACTCAGTACTCAATTACTTTCATTTTAGAATGCCTATCTGTCTTACATCCTCGGTACATCGATGACAGCTGCTGCTTCAGGGACACCGGTGATACCCCATCACCACCCCCTTCATATCATGGTAGCGCCATCGGATACTGGTTCGTTCATTATTTTTTTGCGCCTTTTCAATAAGCCATCAAAAAATTCCATTGCTATCTCTTCAGCACACTTTTACTCTTTTATATATCTTAGCCTTCTTTTTAAAGGAAACAGATCAAAATCTTCTCTCTTCTAATCTTATTATCTCTTTTGCTCCAAGTTCTGCAGTAACTTGAGGGGTCCTAGTGAATTGGAATTGCTATGAATTAAATTGATTGAAAGTGTGATATTGTTGAACAGATCTGCAACCTTAATTTTTATTACTCATTGGAATTTAAGGATATTGAAATCTGAATATTTAAGAGAAAGTTTTGTTTTGAACCCTATATGAGACAACTCATGAAAAATGATGAAAGAAGATGAAATACAAGGTGGGGAGTTGTAGAAGGATGACAGCAAATATCCTAACCGAGTGACTAAGAAGACAAGCAAATACATACACCAAATTATGAATATGTTAATTTGATATATTTAATAGATAGATGGACGCCAGTAAACTATTTATTGAAAATTAATTTTCTAAAATGATCCATTTGGATGTTCCAATTTTTCATCTCCTTATACTTGTGTATGCGCGATAATTATACAAATTCATTCATTAAAATGTTCTTGAAATTGAATAATTTCGTTACAAATAGGATGGGATGACAAAAAATTGTCAAATATACGCCAAATATAAATGATCCATCGAGCAAACCTATATGTCATAAAATTAAAAGATCTTAGTAGGAATTCAATTTATTAATTGTGAATGAGAACATCCAATCTTAGCTAATTTAAAAATTAAATTTTAACAGAAATGCAGTTAAATGTTTCAGTAGTTTGATAGACTGGTATCAATGTCTCTCTTCTCTCCATCTAAATTTTCACCAGCAATCGTTTTACGAAGCATACAAAATAGAGTTGGTAATTGAAATACAGTACACTGGAAACTTTGATGAAAAATTTATGTATGTATGTTTGCCTCCTTTCTTTTCCCTTCTCTCTTTTTCTCAGTAATTCCCTCTCTCTTGCTCTTCCTTTACATGAGTGTGATGTTTTCTCTCTATCTAAATGGACTCTGGCCGTCGATCCAATGAGATTCCGATAGATTGCTTCGTTTTTTCGTAGTTTGTACTTCTGAGCGTTGGTAGCAATTGTGATGGTTGAATGATGTCTTATGGGAAAGTATAAATTTTATCAAAAATGAATGTAAAATTTGAGAAGTGACAAGGATGAGGATGACATGTGGATTGCGTTGTATAGCGTGGCGTGACGTACTTCCATTCACGCTTCCTTCCATTCTCTTTATTTTTCGCCACATATCAGTCCCCTTCATTTTCTTTCAATGCTCTTTCCTAATATCTGATGGGAAGGAAATATTTGACAATAATTTTTCAATAAAGAGCGACAGGGAGACAAGAGAGCAAGGCTGGTAGGTGCGGGGACCATTCATGCATATTAGGTCCTCTTATCACTTCCGATGGCTACAGTGCAGTAATAATGAATAAATGCCTTAAGCTCATTTCATTTAGACACTACCACTATTGCTTATGGGTACAATAATCTCGGCAACACCGCCTGATGGGCTTTCTATATAAAGGAATGTCAAGTTGACAAATTATTATTTGATATATGATTATTGTCTAGCCTAATTCTTCGTGTTCAACTTTGAGAGTGAAAAAAATACATGAGAAATATTCCATTCAGAAATCATCTCAGTTTTGAAAATAATATTCAGTGATGAGTTTTTTCGAATTAGCATCAAAAATTATACTTCCAACTTCCTCGTTTATCTCAGTTACTTCTTATATGAGTATTATAATTTCGTTTAATTTATCCATTTGTTGGAATGTTTCTATATTTTGAAAGTAAAAATTGAGTTTTTGCTCGTGAAGTTTAAAAATAATTAAAATTGACTATTTTGTGCATATATAATGATGATTTACTGCCTTCTCTATAAGGTGGCAATTTCCGGAACTTTTCTCAGCAATTATATATTACATCCTTAATGCGCACATCGATATTCTGTAATTGAAGCTTTCAAAACTAAAATAATTCCGCAATCCAATATATCTGTATATCTTTTTAGAATATGAGAAATTTGCTTCTTTAATGACCTTTTTTGCATATAATTTCTGTTTTGAATTTTTGCGTTTTGAAAACACCAATTATGAAACGTTCGAAAAACAAAAAGAATTATTTTAAAAAATAGCAAAACTTGCTGCAAAAGTCCAAAGAAAGGGGTTTAATTTCTTTTAAACTGAAGTTCATATTATTAATAACAATTGCTAATGTTAGCTACAATCGAGTGGCTTAATTGGTTTGCCATTATCGATGAGGTCAGGTGCCGGAGAATGGTGCTGCTGATAAGATTCGTTCAATTTTCGACATTGACTTGTAAAGACGACTTGACTTTTGATTCTGGGCAATTTATATTTAAGGTTTATTTGATATGAATAAAGGCAGAAGTCAGCAGGAGACTTTCCCTTTGACGACGCGAGGACGACCTCGACCCCTATCTTTTTTTGTTTTCTTTCCTGCATCATCGAAATGATTTCCCATGAAATTGGCAATAACGAAAGAACGAACTCAAACAGCTGACATTAGTATTCATGCATTTTTTCCTCTACAATTTCATATTGAAATGGAGGGGAGTTTATATAGAAATTGTGATCATAAAATGGTTTTCAATCGTTTTCAACAAAGATTTATTAATCTTTAATTTTTAATTCTTTAAAATAAATCAAAAGACATGAGACGGCAGGAATCGTTTTAAAAAGATTTCGAAAAAAATGGCATTATAAGCAAAACATTAATATATATTCTATAAGAAGAAATTTGAAGTTATTTAACTGATCTTATCAGTATTTGATTAATTTATAGCCAGTAAGCTGTAATTAAATAGTTGGAATTTTTCATTTTTTTGAGAGGAATTTAGAATTATGATATAATGAGTTGGTTATTTTGTTCTGCTTTTCAATTAATCAGGAAAGGAATGGCTGTCAGGAGCATGCATTGATTAATATAGAACACATGGAAGCAAAATTAATTCATTCTCATTTTAATTGCATCTCATTACATGCATTATGTCATCTTCAGCTCCCTCCAGAAATTAAATCCTTTTTGGAAAACAGCCTACTAATTTTTCCTTTCCGCAAACAATTTTGTTTAATTCATACTTTAAGATTAACGGTCGTTAACTTAAACAATCGAAATGAATGCCTCAAATCTGTTTAGTTCACAGTAATTACAAAGCAAAGCAACAACCGAGCAAATAATTTTATTGCATATTTTTGGGCCTCAAAACTTTGTCTCGAACTTAGATTTTCGTTATGCGTCTCTTTTGGGTTAGGACAATCAGCATATCTAATGATGGAAAGGTATGGGGGACGGAAAATATCAGCGACATTGCCCATTCCTTTCTTCGTGTCTTTATAAAACAATTATTTGACTTTGGTTGAGAGATGTATGTCGCTGACTTGATGAGTTTCCAAGTCTTCTTTCTTAATTAACTGAGTAGTTTACGAATGTTTCATGCAATTAATTGCGTTCCTCGGAATCAATATTCTTTTAATATTCAATAATTTACTCTATTTAAAATTAATACATAATGTATTGTAATAACGTTGCAAATCATTTTAATAAAGTATCGAATTTCAGAAAATAAGTTCGTAAGATAAAAACAACTTAATTAACATATCATTATATGTAGTGCTAGAAACGAATTGGAAATTTTTTTAAGGGATTGTATATGGAAAGTATATGAAGTTAGCGTTTTTGACTCTTTTCACTTGAAGAAGTCAAATTTGAAATCAGCAATTTAAAGTTATTTGCAAGTAGAATATTGACCTATTAAAAAAAAAATTTCTAAGTGGAGCTTTCTATTCGCTTACTCAAATTCCACATAAGGTTTTTTTTCATTGAAGATTTTGTAAAATTACTTTAAACTTTGCTACGATTTCAGTGAGTAGGCCAGGTCCATTCGGTCTCTTCCAGCTTCCAGCAACATCAACCTCTACAGCGGCCGATGTTGTTCGTTTGTCAGCAACTCCCGTACCGAATTCCATGTGCTTGTCACCAAATTCATTATCTTTAAATAAGAAGCAGTCAAGGCCCACATTTACCGGTCATCAGGTTGGTTCTTTCTGTTCTCTCTCATTTGACTATTCTTACTATAGTACTTTATTAAATCATTCAAAAGGTCACTTCCATTTTCTCCTCTGCAAATACTTCTTATTTCAGAATGTGCAAAAATATGAATTGTTCTGAATTTTAAAATATGCGATAGATAAAGTGTTTAATTTTTTCTACATTCCTGTCACCTCTCACTTGACCTTATCGTTTCGTTCATTCCACCTTGAATGATATCAGGCAAATCAATCTAGGACAGGAATGCTTTTTACTCATCAGTACCATTCTGTGATTGCACTCGATGTTAAATGTTTTCTTCTTAAGATTTTCATGCTGGAGAAGAAGTTCGAGCAAACGAAATATCTGGCCGGATCGGACCGGGCTCAACTCGCTCAAGAACTAAGCATGAGCGAAAGTCAAGTGAAAGTAGGTGTTTTAGCTAATAGCTAACATAATTTTTGATTTTATTAATCAAATTTCACAAAGTGAAAGAATTTCAGCTTCTTCAACTAATGAAAGAAAGAATGGTAAAACTTTCTTTTCCGAGAAAATTTTCTCTATTTGATATTTATACAGTGAGTTTTTGATCAGCGATTAGATACCCGCAATAATCATAAACATTTGTTGCTTCTGTCATTGAAACGAATCTTTTCCAAATTTGGAATCTAATCATTCTTTATCATCCAACCGAAATAATTCTAATATCTTCACTTGCCAATGTTTTATTGATTCCTTAATCGAATATTTGCTACGTTTAGAACTGTTATTTAGTTAATTAATAATGATTAATTAATTCATCAAGTCTCATCGAGTTCATGGTGCGAAAAGTTAATAGAATTCACGAATTGTATGAGGAACGATAGATTGATTTTATAAAAGAAAGCAAATTTCACAAATTTATTTCCCATCAACTGTTGCATCTTAAAGAAGAGAAGTGATACAATGGACAATAAATACATCTGTCTATACAAACAGATGCTTGCATAAATTACTGTCATATGCCGGAAGACATCAATGAAAGAATGATTAATTACAAGACAACATCTCTATCGAACCCTCGAAATTGTCATCTTTTTTATACCTTTAATACAGAAATGAGTATTTAATTGAAAATATTCGCAGAATTTGAATAGACGCCACTATCGAATAACATAACTTTCAGTTATCATAAGTATTACTTCTATAATTTTAGCTTAATCCAATATATTTGTCCCATTAGTTGATCCCAAATGGAGTTAGTTTTATCTTCTGAAGCATATATCTTGCTTCCAATAGTTGTCTGTTCAATAATTGTTTCCCATATACCGCTGTATTTTCGTTACTTGTACCGAGTATATTCCATTCATACTTTTGACTATTTTAAAAATTCTGAGGCAAATCCGAAGTTTATATAATTTTCACCACATATCAAGGATAAGTCCTACATGTACGGAAGCGTGAAGAAGAGTCTATTGCTGGAGCTTTGTTGACCAATTCAATAATATTATCAGTTTAGTTAAAACGATGAGATTGAATTATAATTTTGATGCAAATGATGTAAACACATCAACATCGATAACTATCCATGGTACTTGTAATAATAGTAATATTCTCAGTTGGTCGTAGAAGCAAAGAGATAGAAAAGAGAGAATTTATTGCAATTCAATTCAATCAACAATTCGATCATAATTCGGTCCTCCATTCATCACCCATTCATATCGTCTCTCCCTTTGGTTATATTTGTGCGATACGTTATCTATCAAATTTGCTATGTTGCTTGAATAGAATAAAGGTAAAGGGAAACACCGACAACTCCTTCTTCTCTTTATTCTTTCTTCCGTTATGCGGTGTGTGTATTTTATTGCAACATTCTGAAAAGTAATAACAAACTGAATAGACGAATGAATGAATGGATAGATGGATGGATGGAGGAATTGAGATAAATGAGGGAATTAATTCTCAACTATCTGAATTTATTTTTCTTTCAGCAAGCAAAACTCAATTTGGAAGCAAAATAAAGAAGTAACTTGAAAGAGTTATTACTCCAGCTTAAAAACAATTCTTTTTATTTTTAAAATAAGAAAAGCAATTTTAAAAAACAAATGAAATGTTAATCTATGACAAAACATGTTAGCGATAAGAAACTTTTGCGTTTCATATCTTGTGCTTTTTACAACATCTTACAATTAATTGATCTTTCAGCAATGGATGAACTTTTTAATAAACAATTTTTTAGCCTGAAAGTAATAACTGAAATTCAAAACACTCACCTTTCTCTCTCTCTCTCAGAACTATCGCCTTCGAGTTTAAAATATAACTGTCAACTGATGGAGGTTAATATAAGTTATTTATAGTTTGTCATTAGAAAACATTTCTGGAAGATTACTATGTAATCATATTGCCGTGCGGTCATCTCACAGTCAAGGAATACGCAAAGAATAAATGGATGATTGGTTTTGTTCGGAACTTTTCGATTCGCATCAGTCTTGCTTACTATTTAATTTTTTCTTGAGAAGAGGTTAAGCAGCTAGCATAGAGTACGAACAGTGTCACAATTTGATAGACTACTTCGCTTTGCATGATTACAGGTTATCAATGAAAATTATTTCTAAATAATTCATTTTGAATTTGCAATGATTAATTCAAATAAATGATGGCTATGATCATACGAAGGCTAAAGTACTAGTAACAGCCAGCTCTGTAATGATAATGATATGATGTTAGTTATAAATTACGGTAGGCATATCCATCACCAAATTAGCTTTTTAATGTAATCCTAAGCGACGATCTATTCGCTTTAAATTAGTATTTCGTAGTGGTGAGTGTCTGGCAGTGCAACGATATACAAATATTTTTCATTTAAAAGAGCTTGAAAATCTGAATTTTCTTGATTTAACATTAAGAAGTTATGCGTATGGGGATTGGAAAGTATTGGAAATAGTGAAGAAATGAAAGAAAGAGAAAAAAATTGTAGATTGCTACTCATAGTTTCCCGTTTCTGGTCTCGTGGGTAAAATTTAATTTTGAATTTGATGACTTACCATTCGACGGTAATGTAATTGTAATTTTTTGCCGTTCAACAAATAAGCTTTTAGGGATGGGAGAATATTTTCAGTTAAAAGGAAGAAAAGAAGAAGAATGAAGCATCAAAAATGCTTACATCTCATCTCATAATTTCATTTTGTTATTTCATTTCATTTCATTGTCTTCCATAAAGCAAAATAATTTAAGAAAAGACGAAATCGTCACAAAAAACGCATTATTTTGTCTCAACGTTATTACTGGAAACTTTTATAAAATTCTTATTTATAAATTTTCGATATTTGCTCTTAATTTACTAAATTAGCATTGTACTTTGTTCATATCTAATCAGAAGACATCGCGAATGTCAATTTGAAGCTTATTTTGGAATTTCAAGGAGACATTTTTCATTCTTCCTTCAATGCCAAACTGTTCATACGATATCATCGTAGTTCCATGAATTATAAGGGTACGATTCCAGGTGTGGTTCCAGAATCGACGCACAAAATGGCGCAAAAAAGAGGCAGCAGACAACGCGTTGGTGAAACGTGGTGAAACACTCGATTCTACGGGACGTTCACAACAGTTGCATGGCCTGACGTCGTTCTTATCACCATCCAGTTGAATCAGACATTGTTTGCTTATTTGACAGATGAATCTGTGCTACTCCGGCAATAAATTCCAGGTTTTCGGCGGTAATAAAATGCGATTCAAACTTGAGGAACTGATTCATAGTTAATTTCATCCATGTCCCACCACGTCAATCAGTCTTTGAATATATGCGTTTCATATAAATCAATTTTTTCTTGTACAATTGATGATTTATTGATCAACTGAAATGTAATGTGGTATAACATCGTGATCTCGATACTAATTGCTATTTTGCATATTATTATCCTCTAATTATGTTTTGTAACCTGTCCTCGAGTTCCATTAGATCCATTTGACAAAAAGTTTTTATAGTTTACGTATGTCACGTAACGTTTATATTTGTGGTTGTGTTTCTTTCTGTGTTCTGTTCCTTTCTTTATTCAAATGTTATATCCCAGTTAAATGAAATGCATTCGCAAGTCTTCGTTTATTAAGCTTTTAATTTAATTGCATTCATTTCTAAGTATACAAAGAACATTCACTATGATTATACAAAATAATTTATACGCTCAAGAGCTTACCTTTTTTTGTCTTCTTTTTTTTTCTCTTGTTTTCAAGTAATTTATCGCTTAAGCTGTGAGAAATGTTTTCAATAAAATTGGGGTAAATTGTTGATTGAAATCCCGTCATTCATCTAATTCAGAGCAAATTTTCGATAAATTAACAACACATCTTTCAAAATTTTGAATTCTTTTCACTTTTTTGTTATTAGTATGCCTTGTTCAGAAGCCTGCAGCTGACATTATTTATAATTTAAGATTTCTTGGTACCTTATAAATTCGATATATATATATATATCTTCAAAATAACTGCCGAAAATGTGCGGTTTGTTTGTGCAATAACAAAATAATGCAACAATTAGACTATGTTTTGGTGTTATTATTACAGGTGTTTAACATACAAATGATAGAAATAAAAAAGTCTTCTCTGTTGTCTTCGTTATGAATAGTTGGGAGTAATATAGGTTTTTTTTTGATATTTTTCCGGTTTACCGGTTTATTTGTTTTCCGAAGAATAACATCCATAATCATCCTCAGTTCTGCTTCCTCATGTTAAATCCGAAATGGTAATATTTGGGATAGTGCGAATTAGTAAGAAACGTTTGCCCTTAAAATAAATTTACAGCAAAAATTTTTTTGAAGTTGAAATTACATAATTGCCACTAATATGGAATGAAAGTTGTGTAATGAATAAGACCGAAACGAATGTCGCATGAATGATTGGAATAAATCAATTATGATTGTAACAAAGGAACGATTTATTTGATGAAATAAAACGAACAGGCATCAATTAATACAATAATGCATGTTTCGCCATGAAATTTACCGGACAAATTAAGCGTACCTTTATCGAATGCTTCACCTGCTTTCTTACCCCAACAATAACTGTTTGAAATTTAAATTGACATTTTTCATTCCTTCCAATACGATTCCGATTTTCTTCCTTTTGATCACAATGTAAATTTTGTCTATCTTCCATTTCATGACAAAAAAATTTTATGCCAAAGTATGGCATCGAAATTTCCCAAACACTGTTTCTTGCTTATTAATCAAAATAAGTAATCCATCATACTTGTAAGTATCATTAGTTATCTAAATTTTTACTTAACAGCTAAGAAAATTCTCAGTTTTTCGAAAAATTTCTTAATTAAAAGCTATTAATACTATGTGCTCCGTTTCACTGTGATAAATATCCAGTTTGGATTCTTGTAATTTCAATTTCTGTACCACTTAATAAAAATTCAGTATTTTTGTCGTTTTTCCTTCTATGATTTCAGTTGAAATTCTAATTGCAATTGTTCAATCCAATGCAATTAGAATTTCAACTGAAGTCATAGAAAATTTGACGTAGCTCAAACTGGAAACAAAATATGATATCATATCAAATTCTGCGGAAGAATAAAGTTAAATATCAGGGATTCTGAGTAATTATTAGTACTTCTGTACAGTAATATCTTTTTTATTATGGAAAAAAAGGAAGGCTGTCTTCAATTACTTTTAGCAGTTACTTCATCTAACAAAATTTAAACAGTGTGATACGTACATCACTGTCGTAAAGCTTAATTTTTATATTTGCAGCCGGATGACCGTTATATAATAAATTCCCTTTTACGGCTACATTTTTAATCTCGGTGTGAAATAAACTAGTCTGTTTGTTATGGATATCAATATTACAAGTAGTAATAGGATCAGGAAATGCATATTGAAATATTTAAGTAAAATTGCCGGATTTTTTTATTCATATATTGCTTACTTTATAAAAAAGAAAGAGTAACAAATTAGTAAAATTTACCCATATAAGCATTGGATCAGTAAACTAATTTAAATATTTCTCTTCCAACTCATTCATAGTACTTAAGTAATAGTTCATGCAAACGAAAAATGAATGATATAGTAAATAATTTATCAATGAATTCGTTTAAATTTACGTAAATAAAGCGTAAGTATAACATATGTGAATTGAATTCAACCGTTTAAAATGAAAAAAAAGTAAAAAAAAATAAAAAATTATGAAGAAAATTTGGCATAAGGCAGTCGTCATCGGTAACAATAAGTACAGTCACAGGTGAATCAACGGGGTGATTAATTTTATTTCTTATGAATGATTCACGGAGAGGTAAAAAACCTGTTGTTACCTGTTGTTATTCTCTTACATTATTTAAAAAAAAAGAAAGAAAAGAATGACAGCGTTTGCACGCAAAAGATTTTCGGACAGATAGAAAGAAACCGAATAGATAAAAATATTGCTCAACCGATTTGTACTGAATCTGCTCTCTAAATTCAGTATTTCATTTGTTTATTATTAGTGTAAAATGCGCGGACAATAATTTTAGAAGAATTAGCAAGCTAACTTGCCTAGTTTTCCATTTTTCTAATTTCATTTTCATTTCGCAGTTCTATTTTATTTGAACTGAAATGTCATTTTCATTAGGATTAGCTGCTATTGCTCGATATACTTTTCGTTTTTATATTATATTGACTTTTTTCTTTCATTTTTAAAAACGACTTTTAATTTAGCAGCGGGAAAAAATGGAAATTTAAAAATAGCATATAAATGATGAAGTGGAGCGATTATAGTTCCTCTTTTGTTGGAAATCAAAAATGACTGATAACATAAAGGCTAGGAGCTGTCGACAACACTTCTTAGGAGATATTTAAGATTTTCACCAAAATAGCCTTGGAAATTACTTCTGTATCAAACAAAGATAATTTAAAACTTGCGAAGAATAATGGACAAATGCTAAATTGCACATGGCAAAATTTAAATCATATTTTGATGAATTTCACTATTTACATTAATATATTTAATAGTTGAATTTTAGAATTTACTTTCCCATCAGTGACATGAAATTCGAATTATCCAAAATTAACTGCTATTCGTAAAACTCCCAATTTAGGAAGTTATTAAAGTAAGTCCTAAAAGATTCCGTCGATCAGTAAGCTGTAAACAAGAATTACCTCGCTGATACCCTTTTGTTGTAAATACACTGATTATCTGCCACAAACGCTTCGGATTCGACCTAACCGATTTATAATCAGTTAATTGTGATTAATGACATGCTGACCTCTTGGATTCTTGGACTGCGAATGATCAATGTGTCCCTCAGACGCTCTCATCTTTCCTCAGCTTTTCGTTCCTCTGAGTGGCGCATGTGCTGCATTCCCGTGAATGTTGACTTGCTGCCTTCAACCTTTCCTTTCTTGTTGCTATCATTGAGATGTCTTCTCGTTGTATTATTCCATTAATTTGATTTATTCAGTAAGCATAAAGCAAACTTTAAAGACGTTCGGTGACCTTGAAGACGAAGCCTCATTCACTCTTTCCTTTATCCTTCCGCTTCCCACGTTCCTCCTCTTTCAATCGATCTTGCTAAAGTAGTCGTTTATCTAATTCTCTTTATGATATTACTTTCTCCATACCTTTCTTCCAAGTTATATTTTTTAGTACTACACTGAATTGGCTGATTTAGTGGGAGAACCATCGGAACAAGGTAATCAGCAGGACGAAGCATTCTGTCCGGTGTCCGGATACTTAATTTATTATATAACCTTACTAATCGATCAGTCGCAATAAATCTCTGCAAAACTTTTCGGTCATTATAAACTAATTTAGCTTGCAATATCCACTGGCGATGATATTAATCATCGAGCAAGTATCAGTGATATGATTTCACGCATTCATTCATTCAATGCTGACACCTCGATCAAATATGGTTACATATAAACTATCACTTCTACTATTTCTTCTAGTTGCTATTTCTACTATAACTTTGACCTTCAAAAAAGGTAGGTTTTTGATGTGGAATTTATAAATCATATCGAATTAAGGATTCGAACAATTCCAATTTCATTCCATTTATGTATTAATAATTTGAGTTTATTGATGATATGCATAAGGATTGCTTTCGTTCTAATCTGAAGATATAACCAACTGCATAAGGGAAAAGAAGAAAGAAAAAGTCAAAAATCAAAAAGCTTTCAGGAAGTTGGTAAGAATGGAGGATATTTTAGATGGATGTCGTTTGAAATGGAATACAACTTATCACATGAATGGACATTCCGCACTGCTACACTTCAATGAAACTTGGATCGAAACTTTAGGCTATTGCGTTGCCAGCTCTTCGAATCACCAAAATTACATTTTTCGGTTCGAACTGTAAGTATATTAATGACGAAATTTTCACTTAGTTTTTTTGCAAAAATCAGCCAAATTCGGAGCAGCGCCTAGTTTTTGTCTTAAAAACTTTTATATTTTTTGTGTTGCAATCTTCCCTGTCCATCCTAATGTTTTACAGTACAAGCAAAGAGAGTTTCATTTCCTTATCATTATCACTTACATGAACCAATAGTTCTGCTTTCTGTGGTTCACTTTCAATTACTTTCACTCATCCTTAAGCATTCACCTCTTCGTTTTTTTTTTGAAAAACAAGCACAATTTGAAACCTATTATTAACTTTATCAGAAGAAAAGAAAGAGTAATAACACTGAATATTAAGGGTGAATGCATTAAGCAATATGAAAATAGTCGCGATGATATCGAAAATATCTGCAGACCTGCATTCCGTGGCGATGCATCGATGAAGACGTTTTTTAAAAGTAATACTACATTTTCGAATTTTCTAACTATGGAATTTGAGTGCCAATTTTTTACAATAATTCACTTATTATATAATAGAGAAATTAATATTTGAAATCGAAATATGAGATTGGTACCTCTTTATTGATAAATAAGAAAGAATACGAATGGATTCCCCTCATAAAAAATTTTCAAATTTGATCGGACAACGTTGGCTTAACAGCATTTATTCGTCATTACTGTTAGAATAATTTGTTTCAACTAATGCAAAATTAGAACAATGTCCATTCAGGCCACCTTTCAATTTCACCTATACAACCCAAGATGGATCATGCACATCGAGAGTTTCATCCCTAACCGCTTGTCCAGAATATGGAAAATACCGCTTTGGGTACGAAGCCTGTCCGGAATTGCCAAATTATGAAAGCCACGGCAAGTTAACATTGCATTATAAATGCTAAGAAGAGTCATTAGTCAACAAGTTTGGAGTAGAAATGGAGATTTGGATCCAAAAATGGCTGACAGATTCTCATTTTTCTCACTTTTTAATTTCGAGTGTTTCAGTAGACGAGTTGGAATGCATAGCACATTGGAATTCGTTCGGGGTGGAATTCTTCGCTGTTCGCATAACTAACTCTTCCATCACAGTACCAAATACAATCTTTCGATGTCTTGTATGATTCAGTATTGTTTTTTGAAAAATCATCCGGAAGAGTATTGCTTGAAAAGTAGTTGTATCAGAACAGAGTGGTTATTAAATTGTTAATCGGTAGCATGTCAAGAACTGAGGAAGGGAAGAGAAACGAAACAGAATTCATCCACTGAACAAATTTACTTCAACATTGCCGCTTCTTTTTAAAAATAACTGTTACTACTCATTACGGAGACAGTTGTTCAAATCCTCACACTTAGCCCTTAATAAACTCATGCATTTCAACGAAATTTTCAAATCTCGTAAATATCAAAAACGTTAAAGTCGAAACCATTTGCTTTACATCTGAAAAAATGTCAAATTAGTTTCAGATTCATCAAAAAAGAGTGTTCGGTGGTTACATGGGTATATCAGCTGATTCCAGCTGCGATGAGCTAACAGATCTTGCATATGCCGGAATGAAAATTAAATATACGCAAGGTAATTGAATTTTCAGTTTCCTAACTTTTCTGTTTTCCCTCCTTCCGGAAAACTCCAGATTTTTCCAACGAACAAATTCAAGACTTTAGAAATTCCAAAATTGTAATCTATCAAGATTTAAAAACACGAAAATTAATGAAATATTTTTGAAGGTTCACCCCTGATATCGTATTGTCACTTTCCATCATTTTTGGAACATAGCCATTACTCATCTGGCAAGAATAAATGGATGTCGATGACAATAGGCTCAATGAATGATTTCTATTTCGGTAAACTCATTAAATTTTTCCGTTGGAGATTCTAATTACCGAAACGTTGAACTTTCTATTTGAATTCATTTTACTATACAGTCTATGATTTTTTCCGACGAGATAGTTCCAAAAATATAAAAGTAAATCAAGAAAGGTATGAAGACATTGGCCAATCACAATTACAACCTTGGCATGCC